TATATATATATATATATATATATTCGTTTCTATATCTCGTCTTTTCTAATATATCCAGACATCTATTTAAATATCCTCATCTTTACTATCTTCATTATCTCGACGTGACCAGGTACACTCCGGCCCCTATAACATAAATTTCCACAAAATACTTTAGACAACTAAAATTTGAAATGACATTTTGAGAAAATGGTTTAGGGTAATTATCAAAGCTTTTATTTACATATAAAAAAGAAAAAGTTACAAAGGGTAATTTTCAAAGTATAGATTAAAAAAAAAAGGGAGGCAAGTAGACCCATAATGTGCTCATATGCTCAGATTGTGTCTCTTCTTCTCTTTCCATCCCACAAACACAAATATTGGGAAAACAAACATAAAAGTCAAAATCGTGATAGCTACAGATCCGTCTTCGTTAAAGTATACGTAAAATCTCCTAAAATATTTTCATCGAAAATACTACATTATCAAACCATAGTCTATTCATGTAAGTTTTTTTGAATGCACTATGTGCATAAATCGATCCGAATATTCTACGTGCATAAATATTGATTTGGAGTTAGTAGGTTTATTCTTTGCGCATAAATTGATCTGGATGTTACGATATACGAATTTAAATTAGTCGAGCTAACGACCGGATGGTTAAAGTAGAAAAGAATTACATAAAATTACATATATATATATAGCAAACACACATGGTAATTTAAAGCACAAATTACATGTGTGTTTTTTTAGATACATAATTAATTTGTACCTTTTGTTGTGGTCCTATATATATGCCATAATCTAATTGATCCAAATTTCCCTTTTCTATATGTGTCTCCCAAAATGATTAACTTCCAAAATTGCCTTGGCCAATTTGATACCAAATGTTTTTAGTGATGAATTGTCGTAAAAATGATAATTGGGATATTGATATTTTTTAAAAAACTTGTTATTATTACTTTTTGTTACGAAAGATTTATCAGAGACGATTTTCTTATCCTTGCAAAGTAAGACCTGATAAAATCTGTGTACATGAATTATACTACATATATTACTGCTGAATATTTTTGGTAAGGATGATATGAAAGTTAATAATTATTATCTTCTAAGTAACCTGATTATACATCTAAGATTAGTTTTGATGCTCCTAGATGTATTTAATTTAATCTTTTGACATAATTTATAATTAGTGGGCCGGATCTTGGGCCAGCACATCATATATATCTCAATTCTATAAGACAAAGAAATTAAAAAGCCCCAAAACTGAGAAATGTAACAAAATTTTGGAAAGTTATTGAATTCTTTTTTCTTTTTCTTCAAAACGTGTTCGTTTTGTTGAGCTGTATAACCGTTTTTCCCCAAAAATACTTTCTCCTCTCCCCAGTAACTATTCTTCTCAAGAATTCTCTCACTCTCCATTGTTTCTTCTCAAGAATTCTCTCTCCATTATTTCTTCTCCCAAACACTGTTTCTTCTCCCAAACTACTGTTCTTCCAGGCACAATGCCTGCATCATATATTGAAAAGATAGTGTGGCAGGTCGTAGCTGTACTGTTTCACTTCGCTACTGCGTGCTTTGTCATGATTCGAGGTGAAACAGTGATTATGCTTCTGAGCCTAGCTTGGGTCGCCTTCTCACCACTGGTGCATCTTTATGCGTTTCTCAGTACGAGAAGGCATGGCGACGAACAAATCAGACGTCCTAATTTGGTAAGGTTAGTGGATTTTTTGGGATGGATCGTCTTGTGGGTTACATCCCATTTCTTGTCAAAACCAAAGTTAGACACGATGTTGTATGCAGGGCTAATGTGTGGGATGTCAGGTTTGTTATGCATTCTAATGGCCTTTAGACCGATTGCTACTGACGGCGGCGTCCACTATATCGTCTCTCATTTGATAATGAATATGTCCGTGCGAGATTAAGGATTTACTAATATCAAGACTTTAATTGCTATGATGATCATGTGCTACCTGTGGAAAAAGAAAGATGAATTACCAATGAGGTAAGGCGTAGACAGCCTGAGACGCTTGAGGTAGCAGGGACATGTCACGGACTTAGAGTATTTGCTAAGATTTCGTATGGCACTTGACAACTTACTCACGATTCTTTCACTATCTCGTAAGCTCAAGTAAGCCTTTAAACTCGAGAATATGAAGAAACACTTAGAAAATGCAAAGAGAACTTTAGAAGAAGGAACCTTGTATTACTACTTTACTTGGTTGGATTGTTGGATGATTTACAAATTAATGACCCTCCTATTTATACTACATCCTAAGAGCCTTAGTGTAAATAAAATTTACTATACAAGTCTTTCTACTAACTACACTTTAGTCCATATTCTAGAGAATTCTACATTGTCTAGAATATGCTAAAGTCTTCTACAAAGCTCTAAAGTATTCTAGAGAATTCCCTAGAATTCTCTAGTCTTCTCCACAAAACTAGAAGTTTCTAGAGCCTTCTTGCAAACCTCTTCAAGACTCTAGCTCCTCCTCCTCCATTCCTTCTTGGAACTTTCTTCGTGCGCGGTGGCAAGGCCTTCTCAGCACCATTGTCTTCTCCCAAACTTGCAATGGTAGCTGCATATGTCATCTTTTTTCCCTCGTCGACCCGCTCGAGCTTCATGGCCGTCAGCCGGACTTGTCCCTCCGTCTTCTGTGCCTTCATCATGGGAACCATACATGTTCCTCCTTTCTCCATGACCATCAGTTGTTGGAGGTAAGGATCGATCACCGCATGACACTGCTGGAAGAACTCCTGCCCAAGAATTATATCAAAAATATCTAAGGGAGCGACGGTGAATTTGGTTTTACCTTGCCAATCGCCTATCGTGATGCTCACTCCGTGCGCAACTCCATCTACCGGAGTTGGTGGTGCATTGACCGTCCTGATTTGGGCGTTGCTTGGACCGTAACGCAACCCCAACCTCGTTGCTACCTTCTTGGCCAGGTAATCTTATTGAGGGTGATAATATGTGGTCATGGTTTACGTTTGGTGTTGTCATTCCCCTGGGCTCCATAATCTCAGGCATACCGTTAACATTATTACTCCATAATCCAACTGATGGAACCCTTTTTAACAGAAAGCAGCTAGCAAAACGTTGCTCCAATCAAAAGTTGAAAACATAGCTTGTTTTGTTTTGAAGTACAATTTTGATGTTTTCACATAAGTTTGTTACTTGCACTTTGTGTTTTGCTTATTTTATTAGCAATATTTTCGTCCTTTGATTTATTTATTTTGTTTTTCTTACGCATGATAGTTAAGATCCCTCATTTACTACTTATTTATCAAAATAAGCAATAATTTTTTGCTATGTTGTAAGTTTAGCGTTGGCTATAGAGGTAAAGCTTGATCCAAGAAATGTTGGAGAGAGGTAATTTAATAAAATATGATCATATAGTTATGTTAATTCGGGATATATGACCTTAGATAGGAAGTTGCAAAGGATAGAGGATTAGTTGATAGTAATGTGTTATCTCGCTAGTCCTTCCATACTAATAATAGTAGTAGTAGTGCTTCATGTGATTCAAAGCCAATCACTATGTATTGCAAAAAAGTCGTATGTGTACTTGTGTAATTTTGAATCGATAAATCTTTTATTGGAGATGAGAGAACGGAAGAGAATACATTTTATGTAGTAGTAGTCGTAGTTGGTGGTTTATATATCAAAAACAAATATATAAAACAATTATCTTTATACGATTAGAGAGAATTACAAAGAAGAAACAAATTACAAAGAGTAATCTCGAGGAATATGAACAGCTAGGTAATTCAGGGATTAAATCCAAAAATTCAACTTAAGAGAAAATTATAGACCCACGCGTGCGTCAATGATATATGATATCAGAGCCAAATTCAATTATATTACTATGTTATTTGTTTCGTAAAATTTGTGATATAAAGATAACAAAAATTATTGAAGCAAACACAATTTTTTCACAAACTTTGGCATTTTGTTGTCATCTTTCATTTTTTTAATTTCTAGCACTATCTTTTAATTAATTTTTGTATTTTATATTATGGTGGTAGGGCAATTAGGTGTGGTTTGGAACCTATTCATGTATATGAGAATCTTAAGAGCAACGTAACCTATTTATAGTATAGTTTCTTAATCTATAAAATATTTAATTAGAAATTTCTAAGTTACGTGAAAAGTAAAGAAAAATGATGTCTTCAAAAGCAAGTTTTATAATGTATAAATTTAAATTAATCAGACTCTAATATTAATATAGAAAACTAATAAAAAGAAAATATAAGAAATCATTTTAATACAATCTAGGGAGTTTTTTTTAAGAGTTTATTCCATACACAATTCTACACTATTACGCAATGGTTTAAAATTATCATTCCCATAATTACACACTAAACATGATGACGTATAATTTTAAAAATATTAACAAAGTTGTAAAGCAAAAAAATAAATTAAAATAAACATTGTGAAAAAAGTATTAAGAAAAAAATTCCACTTGTTATTTTATTGAAAAAATTGTATATAATAGCAAATTATTAATTCAAATTAAATGTTATGACTATAGTTTACTTTATTTTCAATTCGCAACTATTGTTTCATATAATGTTATGACAAGAAAATGACTGCTTCTTCGGCTGCGGTTATAAAACTGGCGGGATTCAGAAATAGAGTATACAATTAAATAGCGTCTACTTCAGACATATAACCGTATATAAAAAAAGAAAGAAAAAAACTCATGAATTTTCTTATACATATACAAATTCAACTAATAAAATTTTTATTATTATATACATATAAAAGCACAACAAAAAGAACATATACAATTATGTTGTGGTTCGCTTTTGTATAAAGCGAGAGAAAATTGTATATATACACATGCAAAAAATATATATTTTCTTCCTATACAAGTATAATTATACAATATACAAACATTTTACTTTGATTAAATTGTATACAAATGCAAAATATGTATAAATATTGCAACGAAACAGGCCAGCGAATTTTACAATTGCAGCGAAATAGGCCAGCGAATTTACGATTACAGCAAAATAGTCCAGCGAATTATATAATTGTATATGTATAGCGAATAATACATTTATGTGTTTGATATGGAGCGCAAATATGTAAACTTTGCTATAGCATATATATATAATTCTTTTATTTGCTATATGTGAAAGTTACACTATATTATTTTGCAAAAATTCCCACGTAGCAAAAAGAAATTATTAGAAAAAAGAAAAGGATCCCCAAAAGATTCCAATTATTCCTATCCACTTAATTCTATTTTTTGAGATAAAAAACAAGGGAAACTTTCATATATAGTCATTTAAAAAATAATTAATTACTCTCTATAACTATAGTTTGATAATTACAATTTGTAGCTATATGTTATATGGAGGAGAGAGGAGAGAGAGGGGGGAAAAGAGTGAGAGAAAGATGAAATGTATATGTATATTTGGTTAGATAATTGTATATTATACATATGTAATTGTATATATGTCTATAGAGAATGAGAAAGGGAGAAGAGAGGCAAGCGAGATCGAGAGAGGGAGGAGAGAGGCAAGCGAGAGGCAAGCGAGAGAGGGCAGAGAGTGGGAGAGAGGTGAATTGTATATGTATATAATTGTATATTATACATATACAATTGTATAAATGGCAAGCGAGATTGGGAAAGAGAAGAGAGAGGCGAGCGAGATTGAGAGAAGGAGGAGAGAGGCGAGCGAGAGAGGGCAAGAGGTGAATTCTATATGTATATAGGCTAAAAAATTGTATATTAAACATATTTATATGTATATTCTGGTGAATTATATATATACAAGCGTGACTTCTAATACAAACTTGAAGTCAACCTATATAATTAATGTATAATGTTAGTCGCGAGTGGTAATTATAGCAAACTAGAACTATGATGAGTAATTAAATAGTATAAGTTTGCTTATCCGTGTAATTCTTCCAAAAAACAAATACATAATATTAATTAGTTCATTTTTTAAAAAGAAAAAAATGAGGGCAAGAGAAAGGGAAATGATGGGAATAATTATAATCTGAAAAAAATAAAATCAAAAGGTAAAAATTTAAGTAGTTAATTAATTAAATAATTTTAAATTATTGAGAATTTTTTAAAAATATTTTCAATAAGTTCACATCTATTTTGCTTTCTTAATAATTTAAATTTACAAATTTAGGCATTACGAAAGATATCATCTTATCATAACATATAAAATATATGATATTTTCATTCCTTTATCACCAAATCGGCTCATTAAAAAAATATATATATGGAGGACAATAGGTTATCGTTGATATAATCGAAAGTATCTTATTTTTTTCATACGAAAACACTGCTATTTTTCATTAATTAATTAAAATATTTATTGAAATATACTCCGAACACTTTCTCAATAAAATAATAAAATATTTTAAATTATTATTCATGTTCACTTATAGTACCTTTTGACTTTTGTGTAGTGTATACAACTTATGTTTAAAATTTTGAAAAAATAATATAGAGCCTTTTGTATATACATTGATTATAAATATATAGGTAAGATATTACATTCTTCATAACTCAATTATGAAATTATATAAAAGTATATAATTATTGGTGTTATAAACAAATTCATAACTGGAATTGAATAATTTGATCATAATACTCAAAATCTTTCGTATAAATTGAATTTTTTTAAAATCTAAATTACTCATCATTATTTTAAATAGAAAAACAAATTAAAAGGTAAAATAATTAAAATGAAGTCAAGTATAAATAAGAGTCAACTTTCACGTTTTTTTTTTTAATTTTTCAGGGATTATATATAATATCTTTTAGGGTTTATTTTATTTGCGATGTGTTTTAGGAAAGAACACATTCACATTATACGCTACAATTGAAGTTTATTCGGAGATAACTTGATTTCTGGAATCAAAACTTTGATTGATTGTCTTCAGTTTTGTAAGTTAATTCTTATTCAATGAATGTAATTGTTTGTTTCGTTTTAATTACCATGAATAGCTCAATCTTACAATCAAAGATTTTGAAATTCACGATGATTTGACATAAAGAAGCATTGTTTATAGAAGAAAACATCTATTGTCACTGTCTAGATTGTTAATTTTTTCTTTTGATGATGTTCCTACTATCTACAAACATTAGAACACGTCCTAGATTGAAATCGTTTGAGAGAACGATATAAAATCACATGTGCTCCCCGCGCTTGAATGAATAGGATAGCCATTATATCACTTTCTCTAACTTCACTTGAAATACATTCAGAAATAAGTTCTTCCATATGGCCCATGAGATATGCAATACATAGCAAGTAAAAGGAAGTTCACAAGTAAATTTTCTACTCTTAAACAAGATGGAAATATAATCACTCTTCATTGTAGAGATATCAAGAATACATTAATGACATTTTTTACTCAAGAAACAAAAGAGGGATTTGAAGATTTGTGAAACTTATATGAAGCAATGGTAATAAGTAAACTAAAAGGTGAAATTTCAATAATTACTCTAATAAAAAAAAAATCATTTACGAAACAAGTGTGTCCCAAATAATAAGTAAATATTAAGTCCAGTCCAACTCATTGGTACAAGTTAAGGCCCAAGCCCATACCCAAACTCCATCTTGTTAGGGATGAAAAAAGGGAAACTTACGTAAATATACTATATTAAGAAAAAATTTACCATTTATAGTAATAATTTTTTTTATTCGATCACTTTTAATACATTTTAATACATATTACAAAGAATAATTTATTATTCACATATAATACAAGGTTTATTGATGATTAATACATTTATCACACATTTTAACACTTATTATAAAATGTGTCAATTTCTTACAAAAACAAACATAATATATTTTTTAAAAACAGTTTATAATACATATTTATTGCATACATAATTCACTTTTAATGCATATTGCCGATTTAACATAATATTGTTATAAATGGTAATAAATAAAAAATATCGCTAAAATCAGTTATTATTTATTAAAAATGTATCATTCCAAGTAATTTTTCCATGAGAAAAGTTATTTTTCCCCTCTTAATGCCACTATGGCTATCTTATTAGAATAACTATAAACTTCATACCAAAATGTTTGAACTTTAATTATATATATTGTATAATAATATCTAATATCATAATATAAATATTAATTATCTATGTTAAGATCATCCCAAAATGAAAATTTGCAAAATGATGTTTATTGATGAGCTATAACTTGTTGTTTGAACATAAAATCATGT